TTATGAATATGGTCTGATTTAAATCACTTTTCTGTGTTTGCGATCATAGAAATTGTTTACATTTTGTTATGGGGAATAGAACACCATTAACATGGGAAAGTGATGTCTCTTTGAAATTTAATATAAAGTCAAAGGATGGATGAAAAATTAAAAACAGGGTGGCGGACAATTGAAAACATTTGGGGGAACAACATATAAAAAATTTAGATAGAAATAAAAACGCTAAGATAAAAATTTTAGTGTCCAAAGTCAGAGTTTACAAAATACTAATTTTAACATAGCGATAGGCTATACCTAGGAGCGTCAAAAAATTTAAAGATACTGATAATTTGAGTACCAGACCACTGGAAAATAAAAAGTTAATATAGCATGGAGGATTGAAATGAAATGCTTTAAATTTGAAAAGAGTCGATAAGTTAATGAAAATTTAAGCCAAAGATAGCAATGATTACCACTTGCAGTGGATGACATGTTAAAATGGCGATCTGACACTCTAAGCCTAAATCAATGGAACATCGAAAATCTAAAACTTGAAAACGGAAAAAGGGGCCTCCCAGAGGCCGGAAAAGACTCACCAGGGATGCCTTGGGGTGTTACATGCTGTTTTTATTAAGAATTGGGTAGAACAAATAGATATTTAACGCTTTTATTAGCGATTTTTTGGAGCTCCGAATAGAGATGTTGCTTGTGTGGAAACTAGATCCCATTCTAGGTATGCACTGTAAAATATAAAAATCGACCTTTGTGTAACATGCAAATACCGAATTGATTTTGAAAATAGAAATATAGATACCTTAAATCCTAACAGCCATTCTTTAAGTTCTTTGTTATTTTTCTTTTTTTTTCTCTAAAATCATGTTTCCACACATAGGTCACAATATAACCAGTTTTTTTGAGGGCCTCTTTCCTTTCTTTTGTTTCGCTTTCCAATTTCCACATCGGCTTGCTTATGGTGGGATGAATCGTAGAAAGTTGAAAGCATTTGGTGCACCCATGATAATAACATCCGTAAAATTCATAGACAGTGTTACTTTCTTTGTGAAAACCATCAACATAGCGGTTCAGTATCTTAACCTCACCGGTCCCTCTTCTCGAATGCTGAATAGTGCGACCTGAAATTGAAAAAAAAAATACTTTTAAGAATGACAGAATAAGTTATCTATAAAAAATTAAAAACTCTTAAACTTTTAAATTCCATGAAACCTAACCATTCTAGGGCAAGTTGACTTGTATTAATATTCTTTACGTATCCATTTTGAGGAATTATGGCTATAGAGAGGGGCTTTATGAAGAGGGTAGAATAAACTCTCATACATGCGGCTGCGTGCTGAAAAAGATCAATGCCGGTCAGTTTAATAAAGTCCCCTCGAAATGTAACGCAGCAACGCCTTAATATATCAACATCTGATCTGAAATAATAAAATAAATTAGAGGATGTTAAAACAAAGCTGTCAAGTATTTGAAAACTCCTATTTATTACCTGCAGTACTCTGTTAATTCTTTTCTGAAATTAAAAGATTCCTTTTGTCTATAACTATACCAGTCAAAAAAATTTATTCTATCTTTGGTTGACATAGTATCGGGACAGAAATGTACCGGGTCAGGTAAAGGTCCCACGTATTGTTGGTTACTTCTGAAATTAAAATATAGGACACGTAAAGGGAATACTTTAAATTGTTTTAGAAATATCTGAATGGGAAATTAATATTTTCCTTGTATTGAAAAGATGTGGAAAAAATCCTTTTTTAATTTCCTTTAAGCCGAATGCATCTGGCAATCTGGATAGTGGCATAGGTAGAAAACTAAGCGAATCAATTATTCTGATTTTTAACGAGGGAAATGTCAGGCTGAGAACTTTACACCCTTTCATAATTACGTTTGGCTTTATTGTTTGTTTAATTAAATAAGACATCAAAATGATACCGTCGTATCCCTGCATGTTATGCGCTATTACAGTATAGCCTTTATGGGACGGGGAATGTAAAAAGGCTCCAAACTTTTCTAAGGAATCATATCCTTCAAACTCCTTCTCTCTTCCGTCCATATACTGCATTATGATGAAATTTACCTCGTGCTCACCTGACGACTGATCTACCTCAAAATCAAAGAAAATGTATTTCTTTGAAGGCGGTCATATTTCTGTCCGCCTCATAAAACATAAATGTTCAGATGTAATACAGGATTGTTTGCAAAATTTGCAAATATTTCCCCCACAAATATGTGGAAAATTTTTCTTATAAACCTTGTAGCAGTCTCCGCAAAGTCCGAATTGCGCACATAGAGATATATGCTTTTTGTTATCATTTCTATGCCTTTCAAAGCAGTCTAAGGAACGGCACATCTTGTTACAGTCTGGGCAATTTACGGGGCGGGTTACAAGACAAGAGTCTGAAAAACACGTAGGGCATTTGTTTTTACATCTGTGGGCAGATTTAGTCTTATAACCTATGTCACAGTATGAGCAGTAATAAGAAGTTCCTAAAAAACCAGTCATCTTTGTAATTACATCATAATGATTCTTTTTTAACCATAAAAAAATTTTTTTTGATTTATCAGGAGTGCTGAAGGTTACCTAAAAAAGAATACAGCCCGATAAGTTTCCTGTTAAAAAATTTTAGAATCTTAAAAATAATATTTAAATAACGTACCTTATTAAAAGCTTGAGCGTCTACAACATTAATTTGAACATCTAAATGCAGGGCAAATTTTTCTATTTCCGAATGACCACAAGGTCCTAAAGAAACATTTGCTTTGCAATGCAATTCTCTTGCTAAAACACCTTGAAGAGGTTTATTCCCTGCACTAATATATTTTTTCCTTGGGTCGTTTTCAAGATACGCAACAGCAACCACTATAGCTCTTGCGCAACATAACTCATCTTGGTTGTTGATTGCAATTATAGATTTTTTAGATTTTGTATTCAAGGGTAGGTTTAATATTTTGGTTCTACCTGAACCAAGAGGTCGCTTTATTGTTAAAATATTAATTTTTAGTGAGGAATCTAAATCAACTTTTTTCCCTGAAATAATGACTTTCTCAATCTGAGAAACAATTTTTTCAGGTGTCATTTCAGACACAGGCATAAGTTTAGTGGATAAAGGGCTGTCTAAACTTGTAGTATCTACACATATCCTAATAAGATCTCCGGGGTTGAGAAATTGTGTTGAGCGTTGAATTATTCTATTAAACAATTGTAAGACTCCTTCCTCTACTTCTAATATCGAAATATTACTTCTTGATTGTAAATTAAATATTATCTGATAATCTATTTCTTCCCCGTTATATTTCTTTATAGTCCGCTTTCTATTTTCTTTTACATCAAACTCCACCAAATCCTAAATTTAAAAAAAAAAAAATTGCAATTTTTGCTTATTTTTTTAAGATATGTTAAATTTAATGCAAAATTTTAGTTCTTACGTTTTGATTTGAGGTTGAAGGCCTATTAATTGATCCACCACCAGTTTGAAAGGAAAAATCTTCGCATTCAAGGAAATCTAACTCCATCTCATCTAACTCTAGGTCCTCATTTTCTAAAAAAGACTGTACGTGGTGATTTATGAATTTGCGGTGCTCGCCGCTCTCACCAGTCTTACCGCCAGCTTGGCGATTTAAGATCTTTAGGTTAAAGCAACCCTGTGATCCTAGTGATATATATTCTGTACTTCAGAGGATGAACAGCCACTTACCTTTTCAACTTCTTCACTAGCTAGCTTGGTCGACCCATAATGTTTAATTTAGTTACGTTATTTATTTCATAAACACAAACATTAATATATGTTTTAAGAGAAACCCGCATTTCGTACTCACTTCAATTTCATTGTCCGGTAATTCTAGAAACCACTGAGTATCCGGACTGCAAGGCTAAAATAATTTAGTTAAAATTATTTACATTGTATGCATTTAGCAAGTACGAAGTTTTCCTTACAACAAAATCATTTTCTTTGAATTCTTGGGATAAAGATTTTCCAGACATTCTAAAGTTATTTTGAACTCTCTTCAGACTCCTAGGAGGAGATTTAAAATGACCTTTAAAGCTTTTCGCAGTTGATATCTACATAAATATTGACAGTGAAAAGTTTCATAGATGTTCAAGTATTTTTTAAAACAATATGCGAGATAGAGCATTTAAATTTAAAATTATTTAAATATTATACTTATTTTAATATTACTATTATTTATTTAAAGTGAAGTATTAAAAGTGAAGCATTACAAAAGCCCACTGTGACTAGAGAGCCATGGAAATATTGGGTCCACTATTTCGTTACAGACATCGTGAAAATTTTGTAAATATTGCGGACAGGCTACCTTTACTCGTCAGTCAAGTTATAATTTAAAGTAACACTATGTATTTTGCATGTTTATACATACACTGAGAAGCAGTAGGATAGTAAAACTTAAAATCAAAACTTTTTACTTAGAAATTAAAGTAATACAAGATATGAGTTTTACATTTATTATTGTGAGAGTCTATCGTTTAGAAAGATGAGAACATTTTACAAAATATACTATTTCTTTAAAATTTAATTTAAATTTCTAATATTATTTTATTTATATTAGACAATATTACGTGCTATTTAAAAATAGATAAAAAGAGAAATTAGCTACTTAAAGAGAAATTTAAAATATAACTTACCTATAATATGAAGTCCAAAGAAAGTGGATGTTTTTTTCTACGTGGAGAACGTAGCGGGACCACTGCAGACAACGCAGTGCATGTACGCATCATCATCATCGAAATATATCTGGGGCCGTTAGCGTCCTTTTCCCCATTCGTCTTGTATTGTGGTCTTTAAGTTGGTTCTTTCTGGTAATTGGAATAAAAGGAAATTAAATATTTTGTATTTTAGTTAAAATTACGTCACTACAAAAATGAGCTGCCATCGATCTGAGGTGTATGCCTTCTCTTAAGTTTTCAAAAGTAAAAATTTCGTTGAATCCTGCGGTGTCACAATTTATGGTCTTTTCGAAAAAATCTGAAATTTAACTTTGCAATATGGTGATCTAAAAAATTTATGTTGAGGCCGCGATGTATGTTTTTATCGCAGATAAACCATCTTGCTTTTGTTATTTTCCTGAGGATTTTATTCTGGGATATTTTGAGTTTTTTAAGGAGTGATGTGGAGATGTTGCACCAAGCTGGAGAAGCATAAGTTAGGATGGGACGGATCATCGAGATGAAGAGTAAGCGTTTAAGCTTGAGTTCCATTTTGGAGTTCTGAAGAAGGATTTGTAATCTGTGACAGGCTGCTTGTGCTTTGTTGATAACTGTTTTTACGTGATCTTTCCAATTAAATTTGCTGTTTATGACCAGACCAAGATATTATGCGCTTTTGACTATGGGTATAGTTTCGTTGAAGAGAACAACTTGATTATTGGGAGGATAGTTTTTCTTTTATGTTGGATGATTAGTAGTTTCGATTTTTGGCCGTTGACTTTAAACTTCCAGTCTACACACCTGGTTTCTATTTCCGTAAGCTTTTCTTGGAGTTTCTATAGGGCAATGTTGGGATTTTTGGACTTCACGACAATTCAGTGCATGTACGCTCTTGATCCTTGCAATATTTATACCATGTACTTCGAAGACTTTAACTTCAACTTACAGTTCGCGATTCCATTCAAAGTTTATCATGCAAATTTATAAATATAATTTGCATACGAGAAGAAGTGAAGTGAAGTGAAGTAGTCGACCCAACCGGTTTAACTCACTGGTTATCCTCAAATGTTTAGTTCCTTTGATTTATGGTGACAGATACACCAGGAGGTCGTGGGATAGTGGTTTAGACGACAACCACTGTCCCCTAACCTCTTTTGTCAAGGCTTCGATTCCCAGGTGGGTAAATGACTATCAATTTCCCTTATATGATTCGGGTAAAAAATTCATTGACATGGCTCGAGCGCGTTACAATTATTTTGATCAAAGATGCTTTTCGATGATACTTAGTTTATAATCATTAAAATTTCTCGATAGATTTCTTTTTTATAAAATTGTATTTAATAAACAAAAAAATAATAAATAAATAATTAAGAGAATTCTGGAAAAGTTTATTTATTATATTTATTACGTTATTAAAATCGCAAACACGTTACAAGTATCTCGATCAAAGATGCGTTTAGTTGATGCTCATTTATTATCAATGAAATTTTTTTCCAGATTCCTCTTCCACAAATTTTTATTTAAAAAACAGTAAAAAAAAAGAGAGAAATCTGGAAAGATATTTTTTATTATATTTATTACGTTTTTATTATATTTATTACGTTTATAAAAATATAATGCGCTTCACAATTATTTCGTTCAAAGATGAAACGAATTTATGCGGCTGGGGCGCGATGCAATTATTTTCGATCAAATATGCGTTTAGACACTATTCGTTTATTATCATAGAACTGAAGAGAATGGCAGTAAGGAATATAGATGCGGCAGCCGTACATCTCAGCAGCACAGATGAGACACACTATACACTGGAACGATAGCTGCAGTTATCGCGCATGCTCAGTAGAAGTATCCGGATCCACCGGAAATTATTTGACGTGAGGTCATTTTCCCATTCTGTGTTTATATTTTGAGTAGGCGATATCTTTACGATTATCTATCTTTCACGATCTTTATTAATAATATAACATTTTATATGATTCTTTTAATATTTCTATTTATTTTTAAATAATTCATATTTTTCTTAAAATTTAATTTCTGTAATTTTTTGCCATTTCATTATGTTATATATATATGCTTTAAAAATATCTTTATTTGGCCTTTTGTTTCCTCACATAATATCTCTCTTTATAATAAGTCTATAAAACTTTATATTCTTTTAATATAACTTCTTAGATTACTCGTTATTCTTATAATTTATTGTCTTTGATTCGAGAAACAATGGAATATTTTTCTGAGGATTCTTTATCAGATGATGATGATGTTAATGCTCTGAGTGCAGAATATAAATACAAAGGATGGAAAATATTGGATTCATCCTTACACCAGAAACTAGCCCATACATTGCACTTTTGTTTTGACTAAGGAAATGAACCAAGATTCTGTGAAATTCCAGCAATTTTATCGGATGTCGCCAGAATCTTTCTCTTGTCTGATGAGCTTAGTTAGTGAAAAACGTAACACTATAAGTGCAGATGGGGTGATTTTCATTATCTTTTGCAATTTCTTATATTATTTTTGAAGATATACATGATCTTCGAAGTTCCTATTCTTTGACATTTCCTAAGTTGTTTCAAAGTATACTGTATCAAAATGTCATGCGTTTGTGTTGTACATACCCTCCAACTGCTACGGAATTTCCGTAGTTTCAGAAATCTTCTTTTCAGACGGTAGCAAAATTAATGTCTTAATATTTAAAAAAAATTAATTTTAGCGTAACTTGTCCACTATTACTTATAAAAGTGCAGGCCATATGGCTAGATTCTTAAGTTCTGATAAAAGTTTTATGAGAGATCCATTTGCTTTAAAAATTTCTACTTTGGTTCGCTACCACTAGAAAGAATTATTTTCAAAATCTTCCTAAGTTGGAGGGTATGTAGTTGATTATCATAATAGGGGAGAGTTGGAGAAAACGGGATACCATTATTATTTTTATTTACTACGGAAAATCTGTTAAAGAGAACCGCACATTATTTTTATTGCTACATCACTTATTGAAGCACAGAAAAAACATATTTTAAACTAACTTTAATGACTGTGTATTAAATTTTGGCTGTGTTAAGACACATATTATGTTGGGGTCACTTATTGACTTGGGTTAGTTAAAACAAGATTAACGTGAGATTTAAGTAGATATATATTATATCCACAATTACACCTAATATACATTAGCTATTAAACTCGAACATATAAAACACAAAATGTTTAAACAAATGAATTCATTTACCTCAATCATGTGATACTTGATAATTTTTAATCAAGAAAGGTAATGCTAAAAATACCTCATTGAATAACATATTAAGCATTTATCTCAGCATACTAAATGATTAAATTTAAATATTAGAATATAATATCAAAACGAACTGGCCAAATAAATTAATCAGAAATCAGCACGAGTAAAAATTAAGAATAAAGGAATACATTTTAATTCCATGTGGAATCACTATATTATAGGAATAATGCTGCAATCAAAATCTACTCTTAAACATTATGCTATAATAATCATTCATAGTGATCGACCTAATGGTAACACGTGCTGGAAAATAAATTAAGATCTTAGGGTTAGTACAAAACGTGTGAGAAGCTCAATTCTCTAGAATAAAAAAAAAAAAGGAATTTTGGAATAATCTAAAATTAAACAATTAATTAGAACCAAAACATCAAGGACAATTGAAACAAAAGTATACTTACAAAAATATATTTATTGTCTTGGCTATCTATCAAATATCATATTCCCTTTACACAAAAATGTTCATTATAAAACTCACAAAATAATTGCCAGAGCTTATTCATCCTGGCTGTAAAATAAATTAATTGCTTAGAAAGCAAAAAATTAATAAAAATTTGTTTCAGATGTAAAAAGATTGAGGTGCATGGTTTTTATCAACAAGCACATACATT